CTTTCTCCTCATTATCATCAACAACATCTTCCTCGGCAGCGGCTGTTTCATCATCAAAATTTGGGTATTGACCAATATCAAAATCATTACACGCATGGTCTGTTTCTTCTTCCATCACATCGTCAAAATTCAAGTATTGACCAAGATCAAAGTTCGGGTATTGACCAAGATCAAATTTCGAATACTGACTAGTACTCACAATTTTTTCTGTTGGCTCATAATCGTCTAACTGGTCAATACGAAAACCGGAATTTGGTGCTGAAAGTTGATTGGGATTTGGATTAGGAAAAGGTTGTAGGTTTTGAGATTGTGTTTGATATTGTGTTTGGTATTGGAAATGTGGTGAAACAAAATTTACTTGGTGATGAAATTGTGGTGGAACCATTAAATTTTGGGTTGAAGAACTTAGTTGATTACTACCCGCTACTGACTCAACTTCACTACTTCTAGGTTCAACAACATATAATGTAACATCATCTTCTTGCGAAACACTAATGTAAGCAATGAATCGTTCAACATCTTCATTGTCGGTTAACAAATAAACTTTACCTTTTCTCAGATAAGATAACCTAAATCCACTTAGAGGCTCTAAATTCAATTTCTTTGCAACACGTAACATTAGAGTTTCATAAGTTAACTTTTTTAATGACAGTTTTAGTTGAAGATTCATGGGTAAAAGCACATATTGTAAAACACCATGAACATTCTCCCATGACCCTCCAAAACACAAATCTATCCAAACATGATCAACATTAGATGATTTCATTCTAAAAATTGTAAATTAATTTACTAAACAAACGAGCTATAAACTAGATATCATCACTAACTTAGAGAAAAACATACCTTTATTAAGTTGATAGTTGATAATTTGGGAGAGAAATCATTGAAAAATTATATAGAAATAAAATTATGTAAAAAAAAATAGAGATGGGGAAGGATGTCGTTGGATATAGGAACAGATGTCGCCGGAGAGAGTGATAGATGGAGATGGAATGAGTTGCGATTTAGGGATTTAGGTTATGAGTTGTTGCTGCTGCGTTGTTATATACCCAAAACATTTGTGTTGCGAAACTAAAACCTGTTGCGAATTTGAAATTCAGTTGCGAATTTGTTGGTCATTTTGGCAAATCCAAAAAAAGTTGGTTAAATTTGTATATTATAAGACATTTTTGGACACTGAGGTTATTTTCATAAAGTATAAGTATATATATATATATATAATATAAAGTAATAAAGTGTTTGGATATAAGTATTAAATATAAAATATATAAGTACATAAGTACTAAAGTATATAATATAAAATATTAAACTATATAATATAAGTATTAAATATAAAGTATTATTGTATATAAATATAAGTATTAAATATAAAGTATTTTAATAATCATAATTAATATATTAAGTATATTTATTAATTTAATTATCATAATTAATATTTTATTATAATATTTAAAAATTAATCATATTAATTAGTATGATTTATTATAAACTCAAAATCTCACAATTTTATTAAAATCTTATATTTCTTCAATGATAATATATAAGTTAGGTAAATATTAAATCAGGTCAATAACAAGTCGGATTATTTACAGGTCAGGTTGAAAACATGTCAGGTTCATAACAGGTCAGGTAATATCTGTTATTTACTAGATCAATATCGGGTTCGAGTTCATATCAGTCGGATGCATATCGGGTTCAAGTATCATATTTTTGGTTCAATCGGGTTCAGGTCGTTATCAAGTTGGGTTCAGATCCACAATTTCCAGGTCTAACTCGGGTTCAGGTCAACACCAGTTCCAACTCGAGTCGGTTTCGGATCGCCATAGAGTAGGTCAAAACCAATTTTGACTCGAGTCGGTTTCAATCAGTTTTATAGGTCGGTCAACTTTTTACACCCCTAATTGAGGCAACAACGTACATAAACGGATTACTCCAACTGCCCCAAGCACCAAACATGGATGAGAAAAACTTGAACAAGATCCAAAATGGACAAATGAAAAAGTGATCTCCCCTTAACAACAATCTCATTCGACATAGCTATTCTATAACCAATGGATGTCATGGATAAACGAACAAAGAAACTATACATCGAGAAAGCAATCAAGCATGAAAGTATGTAGAATTGCATATCTAGAAGAAGATAATAAAAGAAACATGTACTGAAAGTTAAAAAATACCAGTAACTATGATGTCCTTTATTAGAAATAAGTCTAGAGAATTATTATTAAAATATGTTAAACTGTAATTGAAAACTAGTAAAAGTAGATAAGAACTAACAGAAAAAAGGAACAGCAAAACAGAGAGATAACCGTGTAAGGTTACCATCCCTGGCTGAAAGGTAAAAAATTGTATAACGGACGGCCAAGGGAAATAACTGCTGCAGGAAAAAATAACCGTTGAAATTGTGATTTCTTAACATCTATTAAGAATGCCAATAAAATTGATTTAAATAAGTTGATTTGGCATTTTGGAGTAGGTTATGCGAGTTATTTTCCATACTGTCTCGTTCTTTTAATAAGTAAATATTTTTTTGTATGAATTATGGCATTTTCAGCTCTGGTTTGATGCATCACCATTCTGTTTTCTTTAAATACCTAAACTATACGTTTTTTTATATAAATAGTATAAAAAGTTTTTATAATTATTTCAATTATTTAACTATTTAATTATTATTTGAAATTACGAATTTATTTGAATAAATTTATCAATTAAATGCTACATCATTAAATGTTTTATTTTTATAAATTTATATGTAAAACATTATTGACAATACAAATCATCAATATATTTAACAATCAACGTTTTATAAAACATTTATTTTTTAATTTTCTAATTAAATATTTCAAGTGTTTGTAAAGTAGTATGAAAGAGTTCAATTAATTTTTTTTAAAATGATTGAGTAATTATCTAAAATGTCCCCGAAAAATAATTTTCGTTAGTAATAATGTGGACATGATAGAAGAAAACTTTGAAAAGATGGAATTATGGTTTGAACACGGATGAATCCAGTGTCTGGATGAGTATACGCTTCCGAAAAAATTTGAATACTTTTATATTTTAAAATTCTTTTTATTATTTATTAAAAATTTAATTTTTTTTTCTTTAAATTTTATAAATTTAAATTTATTCTATAAAATTTTATAAATTTAAATTTATTTTTGTAAACATAAAATCATTTTTCCGTTTGCATATGAATAATCGTGTGGAATCCAATAAAGAGGGCATTATTTTATCATAGGGCTATGAGATGGTGAATAAGCATATGCAAGTCGTAGTTACCTCTGTTTTGAAAATCGGATCGGATAGGTCGGTTCAACCGGTTCAATAAAAAATTGTTGTTTAGTCCGGTTCAATTTAAACCAGTTGAATCGCTGCTAGTGAACTGGTCAGAACAGTTGAACCGTTAGAACCGGACCAGCTGAAAACCGGAAAAACCGATAAAAACCAGGAAAACCGGGAATTTTGTTTTTTTTTAAATTAAACCAAACAACGTCGTTTGTTAAACGGGCCAAGTCGAACTCGAGTATTGCTGAGCTCGACTCGAACTTGAAAACTTTAAAAGTAAGTTCAACTCAACTCAAACTCACAAGCTAAAAATTATCAAGTTCAACTCAAACTCGAAATATAATATTAAAACTTAAACTCAAAAAGGCTTGAACTCAAAAAAATTTAGAAGCTCGATTGAAGCCTAAAATTCGAGCTTGATTGAAGTGAAAGAATAGTTCACTCAATGCTCACCAAAAAGCTTCATGATTTTGAATGCCAAATTACATCTATTATTTATAGAAGTTAGTTGTGATGCTCTTCTATGTTTCTTAGCAATGTAATATTATTTTGTTCTCATATTTTTTCTCTTTAGACTTTTGGGATGCTCTTCTATGTTTCTTAGCCATGTGAGATTGTTTAAAAAAAAATTTAAACCAAACAATATCATTTTGTTATGATTTTTTTTACCCCAAATTTATTTTTTTAATTATAGTTGTATAATTATATTTTAATATTTAATATGTTTTACCTTAAATATTATGTTGTAGTTAATTTGAATCATTTTGTTTCACTTGATTTTATGGTTTTTAACTTATATATATGTTATGACTTGCTTTGAATATGACTTGTGATATAAAAAAAATTATTAAATATTTTTGGTATTTTTATTTAATTTTTAAAATAATTATGACGTCGTCCGGTTCTTTCGACCGATCGAACCGATTCAACCAATTAAACTAATAAACCGATAGCATGACCGATTCATTAACCAATCCGATTCTAAAAACCAGAGACTCATCCCAAAATCAAATATGGCCCCTCCAAGATTTCATTTTGATAATATGCTAGAGCAACTAAGGCCATTTACGAAATTTCATAAACAATACAAGGGTAGTTTAGTATCAAATGCATATTATTTGACACAGAAAACAACGTCATTTTCCTTTTTCTCCAATCACGGAGACAGGTTAGAATTAAAAAGAAAAGTAGAGAAAAAGTCCATATAACCAAAAAATTTGTCTGACGTCACGTATCCCAATTAAAAGCGAGATCGGCGTCATGATCCGACCATCCACGTGGTGGTCATCTACCCACCTACTATTTATGGAAAGCTGAATCGCCTCGCCTTTTAATCTGTATCCAACTCAAATTGACCCACGTGTCCCATTCTATCTCCCACGATCGACTAGAAAGCAGTTCAACCCGAAGCCCGAGATCGACGTGCCTCCATATTGGCGCCGGTACATAGGACACTCCTCCTCTTCCCATTGGTTCTCTTCGGGGGGCCACTAAATACATTTGTTACATAACTTGGGCCCCGCCTATCTTTTGCAACTTTTTGCCACGTTTTGTTTCTCGACCAATCATTTTTCTGCGCTGTTCTTCTCTTTATCCACACACGTGTTGGAACCCTCACACGGGTCCCCTTCCTCCCCCTTACAAAACCCAACACTCCTATTCCAGGCAAGCAGTGCGTCCGCGAGGAAAGGTGCGAGGAAAAAGAGTGATTATTTCTGGAGAGAAAAATAATGCAAGGCAGAGGAGGGTGTTGCATAGCGAGATATGAAGCCGCTGGCCATGGGATATATGATATGTCCAAAGTGAACTGCATAATGCTCCGGTTCCGTCCAATTGCTCCTAAACCGGCGACCGGCGGGTCGGTTTCCCCACAGGAAAGCGGTGAGGTTTGTTCCAAGTCCGGGAGGGGAAAGAGAAGGCCCTGTAAAGATAGTTGTACAATGAGTAATACCAAGAGGTGCAACAAGAAAAGAAGGGTTTGGAACGAGGAAAAAAGAGTTACTTTGCCGCTTCTCCCCGAAACACCCGACTGCAAAGAGTCTGTTCTGAATCGGCAAATGGGTGGAGTAATCCAAAAGACGATGCCTTTTTGGTTAAGCTTCGGTGTCGCTGACGATAAAAAGGAGAGCTTCCCAGCGGAGCAGGCGGTGGTTGTGCCACCGCAGACGGTGAGGGTGGGGTCGTGCGTTATAGTCGAATGCCTGACGGAGACTTGGGTGAGTGGAGATGTGCTAGGGAGAACAGACGAGGAAAAGAAAATTAATCTGGGGAGGGACACGTGTCCAGGGTTTATATCGGATGATATTGGGAGGGTGACGTGGACAAACGGAGCGTATAAAGAAATGGTCGGAGGGGAAACGATGGTGTGGCTGGCGATGAAGGAGAGGCTGCCGTTGATGATAACGTACCCGGTGTTTACATGCAAGGCAAGGGTGCAGTACACGTGCGGTATAGAGCAAAGCTCCTTGACGCTGCCTTGTGACGTTTGGCGAATGGACGGCGGCGGCTTTGCATGGAGGCTGGATATCAACGCCGCTCTCTGCCTGGGCCGATGAGATGGGAATCCATCTATTCTAATGCATGAACGACACTCTCTTTCAGCATGTAAATATTTTGGTGATGTTATAACCTTCTTGTTAAATGTATAAAAAATTCAAGTTTTAATTTTATAAATAATTTTAAATTTATGACTAATATGTTATTATTTTTTGTTAGAGTGATATTTGTGTAAATAATATTTGTGTAAAATATGTAAATTTTATCTATTTATTTTTTGATATTATTTTTAACAACAGTTATTTTTAAAATTAATTGTTTAATAATATTAAAATAAAATTTTAATTAAAGAAATCAAATTAATTATTATTTATTTTTAAAAAAATAAAAAAAATACAATAAAAGAGAAATAAAAATTAATAAAAATATAATGTAAAATTAAAAAATATAACCTTTTTATTTAAAATATTTTTTTTAATATTAATTTTAAAAAAATTTAAATAAATTTTAATTTTTTTTATTAAAAATGAATAAATATTATTAATTATTGTTAAAAAATAATAATTAATAAATAATAATTTATTTAATTCCTCAATTGTAATTAAAAATTTATTTTAGTCAAGATTGTTAAACAGTCATAAGTGTGAAAAGGTACAATAATCGAATAAAAATTTGATCGTAAAAAGTAAATAACTCAAAATTGTCTAACTGCTTTATAAATATTAATTTAATTATACTACGAATAAACTTTCGATCAAAGAGTTAATATTTTTTACTCAATCTTCACAAAAACTGTTTTGTCTCATCATTTTTTCCGCGTATGAGTATCTTTTTTTCAATTATTTTTTATTGAAAATAATTTGCCCACGTGCAAAAAAAAATTAAAAATAGAGTGACTTTCATTGTAAAAGTCAATTGTAATTAAAAGTTTATTTTAATATTTTTTATATTTTTAAACAAAAAATTAATAAATTTTTTAAAAATATATGAAATTTATAATTTTTAAAATTATAAAATATTTATCATCATCATTTTTTAAAAGAAATAATAGTTATAAAATTTTTATAAAATTATTTATATTTTAAAATACTTTTAAATATTAATTTGTAAATTATTTTATAATTCGACAAATTTTAATTTTTGCTTGAAATTACACAATACGTATATTCTTTTGCATGAATGTTATAAAAAGAAAGAAGCTTATATGCTGGAGAAAATGATGAGACAAAACAGTTTTTGTGAAGATTGAGCAGAAAAGATCAACTCTTTGATCGAATGTTTATTCGTGGTACAATTGAGTTGATATTTAGACAGCAGTTAGACAATTTTGAGTTATTGACTTTGTACTAATTTTCATTCGATTCTTGTAGCTTTCCACGCCTACGACTGTTTAACAATCATAAACTTGACTAAAATAAACTTTTAATTACAATTGAGGGATCAAATGAATTATTATTCATTAATTATTATTTTTTAACAACAGTTAATAATGTTTATTGATTTTTAATAAAATTAAAATTTAATATTTATTTAATATTTTTTAAAATTAATATTAGAAAGAATATTTTAAATAAGGAGTTGATATTTTTTAGTTTTACATTATATTTTTATTGAATTTTATTTATTTTTAATTTATTTTTATTTATTTTTTAAGAAAGTGAATAATAATTCATTTGATATCTCAATTGTAATTAAAAATTTATTTTAATATTTTAATATTTTAATATTTTTAAACAATTAATTTTAAAAGTCAATAAATATTATTAATTATTATTAAAAATAATATCACAAAAAATAGATAAAGTTGACATTTTTACATAAATTTCATCTAATAGAAATTAATTACATATTAGACACTGGTTTAAAATTATTTACTAAATTAGCACCCGAATTTTGTACGCTTTTAACAAGGTGTGTTGCAGGGGACGCCTTAACCCACGTGACGTCAGATCAACGTAAAGTGCAGTGTAGGGAGCGTGTCTTTCTAAAAAAAATATATTAGATCGAGAAATATAATTTAAACAGTGTCTGACAAAAAAAAAGACTAGGATGATTTTTCGGGAAAATTACCAAATATTTTATGCGAGTTTAACTTTTCACTGTTTCCTTTTCTTTATTGCTACGTTTGGGAGAAGTGTTCGATGAAAAGAACTGAGAGAGAGCAACCATATTTAGATGTATTTATTATTATTGTAGATTGTTTTGTGCTGCAACACTTCATTTTCTTTTCCTGCATCTTTGCAGTTTTTTTTTTGTTTCCTGTATCTTTTCAGGTTTTACTCTTGCTACTATTCAATCTGTATATATAATCCAGAACTCGGAGGACGTTTTTAGTTTCAGGGTTAAAATGTCTGATGCTTTAATTTTAAGTCCTTTTAAAGCCAAGGAACTAATCAACTATGCTCAACGTGGATTTCTCTCCGTTTAAACTTCAGCAAGCAATGAAGCAAATACACAGATGAAGAGCTAAAAGGATACATAAAGACTTAAGTGGTCATAGGCGGTACAGTACCCGAGTTATTTTTAAATTCGATTCAAAAAATGAAAAATTCAATTCAATTAGAGTATTTTTAAGTTCAATTCAGATTTAAAATTTTCAAATTTAAAAGTTAAAATCCGACTAAGTTTTTTTTTTTTGTTGTTCTCTCGGAAAATTTAAAAGTCAAAATTCGACTTTGTTTCAAATAGTAAATTTAAAATATTTTTAAATTAAGTTCAATATTTTTTTGGTGGTTCTCTCAATTTAAAATATTTTTAAAAGTCAAAATTCGACTTTGGTAAATGAATAAGTCTCCAAGCATGAATTGTTTTGTTGTAAGTAGGGTGTGTGAATCTCCTAATAACATTTTTTGTATACAAAAATTTTTAAACTCAAGATATCAAATTGCTTACTATTTAAATTAATTTTATATAAATTAATCTTATAGGTAATTTGAGCTCAATTTTAAATGTACAACAAATCTTTATATATCAGTTAGTTTATTTCAAATTTGTTAAGAATTTAATTTGAGTTAAATTTATTCTTAACTTGAGTTAAATTTAAGTTTAAGTTGAGTTCATTTAATTTAAAAATTGGTTAAATTTTAATTGAAATGATTTTAATGACTCACAATTTATCTTATCTTGAGATTTAATTGTATATGCACATTTTCCAAACAACATAAATGAATTGCAATGGGTTTAAGGTACTAAATATTTGGATTAACCATGTTTTTAGAACATTTTTTTTGCACAACTAGAGTTTACATAAAATCATAGTCTAATTAATAATATGTTTTTTTTATTTTAAATTAAATTATTTGTGTTTCATAACATTTATTAACGTGTCAAACATAACAAGCGATGTAAATTAATGAAAATAAAAATAATATGGGGTTTCAAGTTCTTCAATACTAATTTTAAGTTAATTGCATCATATGTTCCTAAACTATAATCTTTATTTTAAATTGATTCTTAAATTTTGATATATTCTAATTTTATCCTTAAATTATGACTTACCATAAATTAGTCATTAAAATTTTGAACATTTTAATTTCATCCCTAAATTATAACCCTCTCTTTATATTAGACCCCAAACTTTTGTATATTTCAATTTAATCCCTAAATCCATCAAAATATGTAATTAGTTTCAACCATAATTTAACCTAAATTTGTTTCTTTCAAACATATAATAATATAATTTGGCCTAACAATTTTATTAACAAGAGATGTGATTAGTATATACGTATAGTTTGGGATGAAATTAGAATGTTCAAAAAGTTTGGGGACCAATTTAAAGTGAAAGTCATAGTTTGGGAATGAAATTGAAATGTTCAAAAGTTTGAGAACTAATTTAGAATGATAATCATTGTTTGTGGATGAAACTATAACATTTAAAAGTTTAGGGATTAATATAAAATAAAGATCATATTTTGAGGACATATGATGTAGTTAACTCATTTTGAAACATCTTTATTACTATTTTAAGGTGGGCGGAGACTAGATACGTAATTTTTTGTTTATATGCTTTTCATGTGGCTTTAAATTGGTAACATGAGCATTATCTTGTATTAATTATTATAAAATTAGTAAAAATATTATTTTTAAAATTAGAAATAAAAATTTGAGTTGTGTACGTAAAGTGAGTGTAACACCCTAAATATGATTGAGCCTAAAGTGCCACATTAGACTATCGAGACAATCCATGATTTTCTAAACATGTTCATTTTCATTTTTAAAACACATTGTACGATACCAAGAATAAACATAAATAATAGTTATAAACATATTTTATAAACTAGAGCTCCGTGACACATGATTTAAATCAAAATAGTACATTATGCAATTTACAACTCAAATACATAAGTAAGGTTCTATGAATACACATTCCCGCTAAACTTACAATATTATACTATGAAGGAGATGCTTGAGGTCTTGTTCCAATGGTGCTCCTCGAACAACTCAAGCTAATAACCCACAAAAAACATTTGAACGTTGAACTTACAAAGCCCAGTAGCATAATCACTAATATAGGGCAACATTACGAGTTCTATAAACATATGAATGCTAAAGACATGATACTAAGCAGTAGGTACATGCATGATCTAAATCAAGTGCTGTCTACTAAGGGTTTAATTATTCTATCGCTGAAGTATGAGTCCCATGCTTCCCTTAATCCTCTGCTAAGGGCCTCGCCATGAATACACCTCTAAAGGGCCTCTAACCATAATAATTGTAATTATTACACATTATTTGAGTGTGACACTAACTCTATTGTGCATTATCTGAATGCAAAACTGCTAGTATCTGGTCTCACATAGCTATTAGATACTAGTTAACCGAGGGAACCCAGTATCACAAAGCATTGAAAAAATTCCCACTAAAGTGTTGAACGATCTCTTGGTCTTATATAACCATTAGTTAGATCATGAAGGGGGAACATGATGTCACATAACATCAATACAATCCTGCTCAACTGAAGCATTGGCTCGGCCTCACATAGCCGTCAGACCAAGCTCTAAGGATATTTGTTGTATTGGACTGATGCAACTATACATGCTTAACTGAGGGCCTTAAGGCCTTATGATGCTGACAA